CTAGTGCCCAATCAAACTACACTAAGAAACAAATAAAAATCTAAACCACATATATATTAATAAAATTAAGAAGTATTATGTCTTATTTCCCACAAACTGGAGGATATGCAAGTGAAAAGCAACAAGTTAGCAGAAGAAGCATCAAAGATGGGAAGGAGTTCAGGTGAACATAGAGAAAACAGAGGTGATGAAGATTCCTGGCCAACACCACCAACAGCAACAACAACAGACAACAATCAGTATAAATGGGAGGAAACTGAAAGAAACAATCTTGTTTACCCACCTACCTGGGAAGCATCGTTCCAACTACAGGCGGAACTGACGAGGATATCAAAGCAAGAATCGGAAAAGCAAGACAAGCTTTCACTACTCTCAAGTCTGTGTGGAGGTCAACAACACTCAGCATCAAAAATAAGATCCGGAGTTTCAACTCCAATGTGAAGTCAGTGATACTATACGGATCAGAAACTTGTACTGCGCGTCATAAAGAGCATCTCAAACAAACTACAGACCTTCATTAACAGTTGTCTTCGCTCAATACTCAAGATCAGATGGCCGGCCAGAAAAGATCAGCAACAGGGATCTTTGGGAGCGAACCACCTAGGAACCGATTGTGAAACAAATAGGCAGGAAGAAATGGAGATGGATTCGCTGGCCATACTCTGAGGAAACAAATCATCAAGTGACATCACTAGACAAGCCATTGCTCGAGTGGAACCCGAAAGGGAAGCGGCGAGTTGGTCGTCAGTGCTAGGGTGACTTGGAGGAGGTCATGTGAAGAGGAGATGAAAGCATGTGGGCAGACTTGGAGCCATGTGAAAACTCTAGCAGAGAACCGAACGCAATGGAGACGTGTGGCTGAAGCCCTATGTTCCTCTAGGAATTAAAGGAAATAATAATAATAATTATAATAATAATTAAGAAACGTACCTTAAAGTTAGCCTACACTAGATCTAATGACATTCTGGCCTAAATAGATATTATAGTTGAAATAATCAATATTTAATCATGTGATCAGATAATTTTAAAAATGAATATCTTCATCTGTCTAATTCTATTTATTTATGTTTCTGAGAAGAGATTAATTAAAACAAAGTAAGTGTGGATATTATTATTGTATTAAATGATAACAATCGTTTTTAACTTATCATCCATGTGATCATAACATTTTTCGAGGTTAAAATTAAATTGAACTAGCTACTGAGTACTGTTATTAGTAGTATTGTCTAAGAAAGCATAGAATGTCAGTCAAACCTCACTCCACCTTAAATTCATTGACTTCGAAAAGTCCTTCGTCAGCTCAGTGTTGACCAAGAAGTAATTTGGAAACTGTTTCAACACCACGGCGTACACTGCCTAAGTCTGTATCGACCCTATTCAACAGTTGGCTATATGAAAATGCCACGTGTCAGGTGATCTATCTACAACGGAAAACTCACTCAATATGTGGGGAGTGAGAAGATAGGAATACGTTGAAACGATAAGAGAACTCTAAAAGATTTGGATTTCGCAGATGAAATGTGTCTTATGTCACCCAAACTCGAAGACTTAAACGCAGGTGAAAACCAACAGACTGTCTGAAGAAGCAGCAAAGACCGGGCTTCAAGTGAACATAAAGACGGAGGCGTTGGAGATAACCAACCAAACAGCAGCAACAACCAGCACCAATCAGCACCAACAGGAGAAATTTGAAAGACGTTACTTCCTTCACTTATCTTGGGAGCATTATTTAAACCACAGGGAGAATGAATGAAGATACCAAAACTAGCCAGAATCGGACAGGCTAGGTACATTTTCAACAATCTGAAATTAGTTCGGAATTCTCCTGCACTCAGGATAAAAAACAAGAATCGGATATTCAACACAAATATCTTTATGGGCTAGAAACTTTGCTCACACATCACATGAAGCATTTCTAATAGGTTACAGACTTTTATCAACAACTGCTTTTGCTCCCTATTGAAGATCAAACGGCGAGAAAGAATTGACAGTAATAAACTCCGGGAACAGACCAATCAAGAACTGATTGCTCAACAAATATATAAAAGAAAATGGAGATGAACTGGGCACACATTGAAGGGACCGTTGGGTGATATCGTGCTTCACGCAGTTGCTTGGGTGTGACTCAAATGGGAAGCGATGAGTGGGGTATCCGAGAATTACATGGAGGAGATCGTATAACGAGGAGATGAGAGATTATAAGGAATCTTGGGGCCAGCTTAAGAGGATCACAGAAAATAAAACAAAGTTGAGACATGCTTTTGAAGCTTTCCTCTCCTCCTCACGCGTCTTGCTACATGTCATCATATCAAAGTTGACAAAACTCTGGTTGATAATAATTATCCAGACAAGTTCATAAAGAGATATCAAGTAGTGAGAGCATCAAATCGACTCTCCAACCCTCCACTAAGAAAGACGTGTACATCAAGCTACCGTATATGGGTGATCATAGCAGCTTGGTAACTCGACAGAGATTAAACACTGTGGTCAAAAAGAATTTTTATGCGGCTAATATGGTAGTAATTCAGAATGTGAAGCCGATATTCCCATCTAAGCCATTGGAACATGCAAAAAATGAGATCACATCCTACTGTATTTACCAATTTCAGTGTACGTGTGGACACACATACTTAGGGAGGACTCATTGATCTCTGCAAGTAAAGGATGGCTTCAGAAGCAGATAGAATCCCGATAACCCATTAATGATGAGAACAGGAGACTTAGCTCCTCGATTTCTAAGCATATTATAGAGACAGGACATAAAATTGATGTTTCTGCACCTCCCTTAAACCTATCTATAAAACGTGTTTGAAGGAGGGCGTATCCTAAAGTTTGTGGAAGTCCTAGCTGGCAGTTAGGTAGTTTAAACCACCTTAATGAGTTCAAAAGAACAATTCGTCATCACACTAAACCACCTTTCTTGGTAAACTTTGTTTTGATACCAGTTAGGGTAGATGTACTTTTACCTCTGTTAGTTGGTTTAATGATCTTCAAGTATTGGTTTGTAGGGATTTGGTTGATTGGTTACAGGATTTTATCATGAGCTGGCATCAGTTAAAGAACCCTTGGAAAACCTGGGAGTACTGCACAGCTGTTTCGTCCTAGTTTGGGACTCTTCAGCAGTACGCACTCACGTTGCGGGTCTCGAACCCTGGACCTTCTGGTTACAAGGCGAGCGAGCTCGTATACCGCTAAGCAGGTGCAGCAGGTCGGGTGTGAAGACAAATACTTGCCGAAGACATTGGTTAGCGGTTACGCTATATCGTGAATTGGCAGAAGTTTGAATTCATGCACTGGCCATTGGATCGGGTCCCAGTGGCCTAATGGTATACGAGCTCGCCTTGTAACCACGATGTCCCGGGTCCGAAGCCCGGTGGGCACGTGCTACTTAATGGTCTTCATTGTTATTTTCGCCTTCAATGTGTCCTTTTAACTTGACCTAAGTCTATTTTCTCACCTCTTACCTCTTTATTAATTTCAAATATATTCCCATGACAAATCCGTGTGTGATCAGATTGTTCGAAATATGTTGCGAAAATACATTACACGATTCAGACAAATTACGTCTTCTTATTGCTTTCTCTAAATTCATAAACGGAACTAATTGTTTTAAAGATTTGAGTTAATTAACAGACGCATAGAGAGAAATTTAAAACAAGAAACAAACAACAGATAATAAAGCAGATTGTAATGAGTTCATCAAAACTTTATAGAACTCTTCAGCTGAATATATACGGTGATATATATAAATATTTATTGGAAATACATTGAAAGATATATGATTACAAGTTCAGTCACAAGCTGACATCACTTAGAGAACCATTGGAATACCTGGGAGTACTGGACAGCTGATTTGTCTAAATTTCGGACTCTTCAACAGTACCCACTGCTGGGATCGGCATTCAGGACCTACCAGTTACAAGGCGATCTCGCAAACCATGCAGTCACTGAGACCTCACCCAGTGGCCCATGAATTCCAACATCTGACTATTCGTGAGTCGTAAGTAAATAAACTGGAGCGAATCACATTCACACTTTGCAATGCACACAGTTCAAGCGGTGAAATTTTCACCACAGCTCCCTTCGAAAACGGAAATTATTCAGATAACTAGTTCACCCAAGTAGCTGGACAGAAATCGAATGGGGTTTGAACTGATTCGGTTCATTCAGCTGAACCAAACTGGCGAAACCGCTGATGAGTTCGACTTCAAACGAGCGAAACATCTGTATATCGGTGTTTAGATTTCCCCGATGGCCTGGCTGGCCAGCAGGTAATACTGGCTGATATGAGTGGCATAATACTACTCATTTCAATCAATCAATCAGTAGTATATAATTTTTTGCAGATAGGTGAGAATATTTTACAAGTCAAGTTCTGAACGTTTTGTTATCTTCTAAGGTAGTCTTAACAAAAGCTGGAATTATTAACATGGACCTTTGAGTGGATTAAACGCTTGGAATCCAAGCTAATCATTAGTCCATGTATAGATTCCAAAATATCTAATTTCATGCCAGTGATTTTGCCAATTCGAAATGCTCTGTAACTACTGTAATATTAAGGAGTAGTGTAACGACAGAAGGCAAAGGCTAGGCCACAGATTGTTTATGCAGAAAATTAAGAGATATTTATAGATTTTTATGTGCATTATTGTCAGCGGAGAAGAAACGTCTTCTGATTGGTTGTTTCCTTGTTGAAGGTTATTCCGTTATCTCTTTGTGACCGTTTCCCAGAAAATTAAGCCATATATCTGCGAGTCGTATTTGCACACGTTAAATCCGCTGTGATTGGGGGTGATTTTCTCACGGTTAAGCTTTGTTGTGGTTTTTCTCATGACCCTGATTCAGGACTCAACACTGACGTAAATTATTGCTTACAATATTGGCTTGTTTGCAGCCAGCTCTCCGTACAGTAGCTGATAATGACTTGCAATTTCATTTACACATTTAATCATTTAATTACGTATAATTACTGTCTTTTGTATTTTTATTTCCAATAGATTATGACTATTTCATTGGGAAATCATTTCAAAGTAATTTTATGCCTTATATGTACTTTAACAAATTCATCTACTGGAAGTGAGTTAAATTACTGTCATTTAAGATTTATCACAAAGTCTGAAGCCATGTAACTAAACTGATGAAATTATGATCATAATTTGTGCTTATATTGTCATCTAGTTCTTTATTTTTTTATTTTTGATTACAGCTTGATTACACACCGTATTCGTAGATACCGGTATGGAATTTTCAGCATGTGATATCGGTAGCCCAAATTTTGCAAGCCGGCCATAGATATCAGGTGTGCGTCGGTAGGGGATAGAACCCCGGACCATGTGCATGGTCGGCGAGAGTCCTAACCACTGTGCCATCGACTCACTGTATCACACAGTGTGTTATTTTAAATAATTCCACCTAATCCTGGGTATTATTACAGACTGAATACTACCAATCAGATTTGCAATTTGGCTGCCACACTAGATGGCTGGACATTTCAGTGTGCACTCTGAATTCTTGTTAGATGGTTGGAATTAATCGACAGAAAGCCTTGAATCCAGGTTGCATGTTTGTTGCCTTGCTGACGGTTACCAACGGGCACGAAACTTAGGTGCGGAGCTTCCTGCCGATTGACTGCAACCACTGAATATCAACTGCTCAAAGTGAAGCGTCATGGTGGGTCACCTATCATACTGGCCACATAGTATGGCAATTGTATGGCACTCTACTCGTACTCATGCAGCCAGGTGAGGGCTTATGGCGAGTTGTCGTCTGAAGTGGTGACGACTAGTGGCGTCCGTCAAGGATGCCCATTATCCCCTTTCAACTTCATCATAGATGTACTAATGGACTTAACCCTAACACACTTCAGGGACTCAGGGATTGACTTGCTACCAGGGAATAATCTCGTCGACTTAGAATATGCGGACGATTTAGTCCTTCTAGGCGATGATGCTGACAAAATGCAGAGTCTACTGAACACCTTGAACAACAATCTTCGTATGTTCGGCATGCGATTCGCCCCAGTAAAATGTAAGATGATGCTGCAGGATTGGACTTCACCGACTCCTAGATTAGAAATAGGAAGTGAAGTGGTAGAGCACGTTGACCGCTTCACTTACTTGGGAAGTACCATCAGCCCCAACGGGTTGATCTCTGACGAAATCTCAGCACGAATACAGAGGGCTAACTTCGCATATGCCAGTTCACGCCGTCTCTAATGTAGACGTGGCTATCGACCAAAGGGCGTGTGTACTGCTCAGCAGTCCACTCCGTCCTCCTTTATGGCTGTGAGACCTAGCCATTGAGAGTAGAAGATATGAAAAGATTAGCTGTGTTCGATCATAGGTGTCTGCGTTCTATCTCCCATGTGCAGTGGTATAATAAGGTGAGCAATATTGAGGTTAGGCGTCGAGTGCTAGATAAGGTGGGGAAATCAATCGACGAGACTGTGAAATTACATCGACTGAGATGGTTAGGAAATGTGCTACGTATGCCCAGTCATCGCCTTCCTCGACGAGCAATGTTAGCTGATATAGGGCCAGGCTGGAAAAGAGCTAGCGGTGGTCAAACCGAAACATGGCACCAGTCAATGAAATCCACAACAGTTAGTTTAAACCAGCCACGTAGGAAGATGTAGACTTCCTGGTTGGGGTCCTCGGGACGGTAAAAACCAATGGTTGGAAACAATTGGTGACATGGCTCAAAATCGTTCTCAGTGGCGCAGATGCATCCACTCCTTGTGACTTATGATTTCCAATTAAACTGTTTTGTTCTCCGATATTACTATTCCTTTGTTTCACACCTCTGTTTACTGTCTATATTATGCATTTCTTCTACTTTCTTCTCTTGCTTTGTGTACTACATGGAGTGTGGCGACTTGAACTGCCTCACATATGTGCAAAGTTCTATGTCGAAAACCGGCCGACCGACCGGCCACATTGTAAACTTGACTGGTAGAGTTCAGTCTGCACTAAACCAAGTGGTATTACTATTAGTGTTCCTTTGAGTTGCGAGTGAAGAGTAGATATTCAACAGCACACATCCATTTCTTCCCATTCTCATTGTAGTCCACTTTAGCTATCCAAACGACTGACCATAGTATCTCATCTTCTTGTCACACGATCTCCTCCCTTTCAACTTGGGAGTTAAGCCCATCTGGAAATTTCTTATTCAGTTTCCACTCGAGGGTCTGGCGCGTGGTATCATTCGACAATCTTCTCATTGTGTGTCCGATTCATCTATATTTTCTTTGGAGTATTTGTTGGGCAATCGGTTCTTGATTGCCATTTCATTCTGGCTACCCATTTGATCTTCGATATGGAGCCAGCGGACTCAGCTGTTGATAAAATTCTCCAGTAGCCTGCTAAACATGCTTTTCGTTATGCTGTGGTCAAGTTTCTGACCCATATACGGGAAGTAACTGACTTGACACTGGTGTTGAAAATTCGAATTCTACTTTTTATGCTGCGTGTATTGGGTTTCCACACTGATTTATGACTGACAAAGATCTGTCTTGCCTTTCCGATCCCGGTTTCAACGTCCTCAACCGCTCCGCCTATGGTTGAAACTATGCTGCCTTGATAAGCGAGGAAAGTGGCTTCTTTCAAATTACTCCCGTTGACAGTGATTCGTGCTTGTTGTTGTTGGTTGGTTATCTTTATCCCCTCTGTCTTCTCTATGTTCACCTGGAGTCCTATCTTCGCTACTTCTCCAGCCAGTTTGTTGATTTTCTGCTGTAAGTCTGAAAGTTTGTGTGACATTGACATAAATCGTCCACAAAATTCACATCTTCCAGAGTCTTCCTATCGGCCCAATGCATTCCTGCCCTCTCGATTATTTACAGTCTGCTGCACAGTCCAGTTCATCACAATTAGAAATATCATTGGTGATATAAGGCAGCCAGCCAGCTTGTCTTACTCCTGTATAAACCAAGAACTAGACATATTGTGGTGAGAGCTGTCTGCTAGCCAAAATTGGTAGACATCAGTTTACGTCAATGTTTACTTCCCACATCTCGGTCATGAGAAAAATCAAGAACAAAGATTTTGCGTGGACGGATACGACTCGCAGATATATGGTCTAACCTTCAAAAAATGGCCACAAAGAGATGACCGATTAACTTTCAGCGAGAAAACAATTAGTCAGAAGACGCTGTTTCTCTTCTACGAATAACAAATAATAATGTGCATAAAAATATATAAATATCTGTTGATTTTCTCAATAAGCGATCTGTTGTAAGGCCCTTGTCTTCTATCGTTATAATATGATATCAGTTACCAATCAAAGTGTTCCATGTATACATAAGTTATCCAATTTTCCAACAGTCAGTAAGTTCTCAAGTATTGAATTTTGTAGGAATTTATTTACTAGTGAGCATCATCACTAACGACTGGCCCTAATGAGTTAGACAGTTACCTGGGTTTCTAGTAGGAAGCCGTGATCAGTAGGGTACAGTAGGTTGAAAGTGAGGCAGTAACTCATCGAAGAAGACATTGCGAAGTGGTTGCATTATGTCATGAATGAGAAGAAGTTAGAAATCATGGGCTGGCTGGCCATTGGATCGGGTCCCAGTGGCTTAATGGTCTGCGAGCTCGCTAGCCTTTTAACCAGAACGTCCTGGGTTCAAACCCCTCAGTGTGGCGTGCGCAATGACGAAGAGTCCCAGACTAGGACGAAGCAGCTGTCCAGTACTCCTTGACTGGTTTTCCAATGTTTCTTTAACCGATGTCAGCTCATGATGAAATCCTCCAACCTGTCAGTAAGTTCCTTTGCACTTTCCTTGTCTTATGCTTATATATTCTTATATCACTCACTTGTATTATACTCAGTGCGACTTATTTTGTTTACTCACAAGTCTTTTTCTTATAACCAACAGAACGAAAATGTCCAGCTTTCATTAACTTTATCCAGAAAAAACATGAAATCGATTATCCAGAAGAAAGGTATAGTAAGTTTCCTTAAAACTAATTAATATTTTAACTGATTAAAAATGCCTATTAAAGTTTTTTTCCAAAAGAATGGATACTGAACAAAGAATACTCTTCTCGATAACCTGCCCTTCATCACCAGGTTCTACAGTTATATATACATTATAGTGAATGAATGAATTAGTGTTATGAACAACATTAATGTTGTTAAAATAACATCGAATCAATAATATTGATACATTACAGGTGAACAGCATCAACATCAAATAAACTGAATGTCAGAAAAACTAGGAAAGATAATAATACAAATTCATGAATTTATAGTCTCTACTGAAGGCGGGCCAGGGCAGCAGTAGTAGCTGGACTTGCTTCTTTTGCACCCAAAGCACTGGTTGTTTCACGCGAATGACAATAGCCTCTGCTGTTTGGAGCGTGCGGTACCTTGATATTTTTGGCAATTTATTTGGTATCCGGTAGATGATAGAGAAGGATTCTTCAATGCTAGCTGGCTTTGTGACTGGTTTGGACCAGGTAATCTCATATTGTACTATTGATGGTTTTTACTACACCTTCACTTAGCCACACTGGTAGATGTTCCTGAATGAGCACGAAAAATCAAGTTCGTAGAGTACCGGTCAGTATAATTCGCTCCACCAAAGGAGTAGTTGAATTGGTAGATACAATTCGTAGTGGCTGGATAGTCTATGTACTTCATCTTTCAATCGAGGAATCACCATCGGTCATGTAGAAAATAAGACTTGTAGTTTGCCTGCAATAAAATTTCTTTCAGCTGATTTTCTTAACTTCTTCGTAATTATTTCGCTTAGTATATCACCTTTGAATTGCAGTCGTATGTATAAAAGCTTCTTGTTTACGGATAGTGAGTAGTCCTTATCCGCTTTCTTTGTCATGTGTTTCTTGATAAATTTGTCGGGATAGATGTTTTCCATCAAGGTATCATATACAATCCTTAGTTCATCTTCATTTACCTCTTCTGAGCATATAGCTCTAACTGTGTGGCTGAGGGTCCTTACTGAATTTCTTCTGTACCGGACAGGAACTAAACTATGGAAATGTGTATATTGTCCTGTCCGTGTACCTTTCCTATGCAAATTTCTCTTTATACTACCATCTGGTTTTCTAGTAAGGAGGACATCTAGGAAGGCGATGAATTCTGTTTTGGGATTCCTCGTTGCAAGTGAATTTCATAGCAGAATGTACTTCATTGAATTCAGTTATTATTATGTTACTGTCCGAATCATTATCACAAAGAATAAAGGTGTCATCCATATACCGGCAATAAAATGAGAATTTCTGATAAGGTTGTTCAAAGGTTCATGTTCAAAACAACAGACGCCATCGTCATTCGCCTGAAATAACTAGTGCTCTATGTGCAAAAGGAGCAAGTCCAGTCATCACTACTACTGCCCTGGTCAGCCTTCTGTGGAGACTATAAATTCGTGAATTTGTATTAATACTGTCTTTCCTAATTTGCCTTTCTGATATTCACTCTAGTGTATTTTTATGTTACTTCCGCTAACTTACACCGTCTCTGGCGTAGGCGTGACATCCAACTGTCAACCAAGGGACGTGTATACTGCTCAGTAGTTCGCTCCGTCCTTCTCTATGGCGGTGAGACGTGGCCATTGAGAGCGGAAGACATGAAGAGATTGTCTGTTTTTGACCACAGATGTTTACGATCTCTTTCTCACGTTAGGTGGTATAATAAGGTAAGTAATGTTGACCTTAGGCGTAGAGTGTTGGGCGAAGAGGGAAAATCAATCGAAGTGGCTATAAAGTTACATAGATTGAGATGATTAGTTCATGTGCTGCGCATGCCTAACCATCGTCTCCCCCACCCCGACGGGCATTACTAGCTGATATAGGTGCAGGTTGGAAAAGAGTAAGTGGTGGCCAAACAAAAACATGGCATCAGTCCATGAAATCCTTGACAGTTAAACTGAGTCAGGTAGGGAGATGCAGATTTCCGGGTTGGGGTCCTCGGGACTCTAAGAATCAATGGCTGGAGACATTAGGTGACGTGGCTCAAAATCGTTGTCAATGGCGCAGATGTATTCAGTCTCTGTAATCTTTCATATTCCTTTCTGTCATTCCTCACTCTGTTTCACTCTTATACTTGTCAAAACTCTATTGATTCTCTTCACTCATCTTCTTGTCTACCTTTGTGTGTTATTTGGAAGGTGGCAACTCGAACTGCTGCACTTCGGTGCCAAGTTCTATGTTGAATCCAGACAGACAGTATTTTTATGTGGATGCTATTGAACTGTAATCCGTTGATATTATTATTATTGATTCGATGTTATTTAAACAACATTAATGTTGTTAATGATGAAGTTATCGAAAAGAGTAATCTTTGTTCATTTACCATTCTTTGAATAGTTAATATTTAACCATAGTTTTATTATACTACTTTAAAATGATAAATTTAAACATGATACTATTGTCATTGATTTATTAATTATTTTACAGACAAAGCAGAATTCTTCTCAGCACTCCAATTTACCTAAATAATTACAGTTATTTATAGATACAGTTCAAAATATTTCATTCCCATAGTAAATTTAAAACAAGCAACAACAACTGTGGATAAAATAGTAGTAGTATTTAATGAATTCATAGATTTCGGTAAGTGGGCTCGTTAGCTGAAAACTCCTCTAGAGACAATGTTATTCATACAATATTGTTTTAAGATTAACATACATACAGATACATGAATAGGATGTGGCAACAAATAAGTATCAATGAGGGGTGAGTGAATACGTCTAACTGATGTTGATTCCTGGTGAAATCTAACAACTGAAATTCAATAAATAACAATGTTGGCAGAGTATTCAGCTGACAAGTCCTGATGAAGCTTAAGAATTCAATAAATTCTGCTTTAATTCATGGTCGTTACTCGTTTTAAATGTACTGCAGGAAATAAATGTCATCAACACTGATGTTTTTTTCGAAGTAAACTGGTGGATGGTGACTAGCACTGGTGGAATCTAAGATGCGCATTTCGTCCTATTTCGGGACTCTTCGTCTGGATGTACATCTACATTCCTCAATGAGTGATAGTTGGTGCATTTACTCTCACCTACTGTCAAGTAAAGAAGAAAGTTTAACAGTAGTTTTATGCAGTAAGCCTTTTCAAATCTTTAGAGGACCTTAATTCTACGCAAAACTGAAGATATGTCTCGCTGACGAGCGTCAAGCAGCATCAAACCTGGGTATCGAACATGCCAACGATCATCTGCATTTACTTAACGTCTAAACGTCTCTTTGGTTTCGCTTTTTTTCCCAAATTTTTGTAGATCTACAGTGTAGCGACAATAATACTCAATGTTTACTTTATGTATACCAAGAAAAGTCTTTTTGGGATGCAAATAAAATTTGTAAACAACTGGCGGGTAATTTATGGGTACCAGAGACGGATGTAGTAAGTTATAATTTACAGTTGGATTTCTCCTTATAAGAACATTTCCATATCGTAAATCAGACACTACGTGTAACTATTATAAAACTCTTAAATAAATTCACCCACATACGATATTCTTACGTTAGGTTTAAGTGAAATTAACTTTGGTATCAAGGTAAATTGCAAGTTCGGTCACCAAATGAAATCAGTCAGAGAACTACTGAAAACTAAGGAGTACTGATGTGACGACAAAAGACAAGGGCCAGGCAACAGATCGTTTATTGAGAAAATCAACAGATATTTATAAATTTTTATGTGCATTATTATTAGCGTTGTTGTTGGCGAAGAAGCAGCGTCGTCTGATTGGTTCTTTTCTCACTTAAAGTTATTCAGTCATCTCTTTGTGGCCGTTTCTTTGAAGGTCAGACCATATATCTGTCAATCGTATCGCCCACTCAAAGTTCGCTGTGATTGGATGTTGAGTTCCTCAATATTAAGCTTTGTTATTGTTTTTTCTCATGACCCCGATTAGGGACGTAAATTTTGGCTTGCAGACAGCTCTCACCACACTGGTAGCTGTTTTGTTCTTCTAGTATGAGACTCTTCAGCAGTATGTATTCATAAACCTACCCACCAGGGGTTGAACCCAGGACTTCCAGATTACGAGGAAAACCCACTGCCTCTTCACCCACTACGACGGAACCCAATGGCCTATGATTTCAAACTTCTACCTATTCTCGAAGAAAAGCACCATTGACAGACATCCTGGTGGTTTGTCAATGGTTCTCTAATTAATATCACCTCCTGATCTAGCTTTAAAGCAATCAGATTCAAGCAAGCGAAGACTTGAAAAGTGGGTCAATATCATTAACAGGTAATATCGTCTGGAAAACCACTGGTGACTAAGGAAGGGACGGTATTATAACAATAGAAGACGAAGACTTGGTAAAGGAATGTTTATTTGCAATTTGGTATCTCTAAATAGCCAAATTATGTACACCTTATCTTCAACGCACCATTTGCACAGATCTTCCGTGTTGTGTCTGCTGCTTCCGGCCTTCATATTGTGTTTCTTTGTGTTCCTTTCACGTCTCCCACGTATCTGTGCAACTCTGAATCATTCTGTTTCTCCAACATCAAATCTATCTATATCCCCTCTATCTAATGTTTCCTATGCCAATGAACATCTCTTTATATCTACATATATATGTACTACTGACAAATCTTATCAGCAGCACATGCCCCAGTACTACTTTCCATCTATAATTGGTTAGATTTTAGCGATTCATCGCTGTCAGATTAGAACGACGAGTACCTTATTATTTACACACTAGATGGGATACTACTTTATAGCAAACTCTATGTTATGCAGGTCTTTCCAGATGTGTCTTGTCACTGATATATTGTGCTCATTTATGCGTAGTGATAGACCACTATTTGAGTTGAGTCTGTCATGTCACTTTCAATTTTATAACTCACTTTAATGTTACAAGTGTTAGTTTTTTATTGTCGTAGGAATCTAAATCTACTAAAATTCACTATTTACTAAACTTCATTAATTTGCTGTGTTCCTGAATATGGTTCTGTAGGAGGTTGATAAATTCTGTAGTTGTACACAACTGATAGATGTAGCGCGTTAACATAAACCCCTCATAGACTGTGACAGATTTAAACTATAAAGATTCATGGACTTCGAATGTACGAGTGACTTTCAGCCAACCAATCAGGAAATACAGTGATTGGTTTTTGCATAGAAATGACGTTTATTTACAAGAGAAATGCATCAAAATGCATAAAACAGGATATTTTTCCCTGATATGACTCAAAAATACCTCCAAATTATAATGAGGAGGATCAGTTTTCAAGTTAAACCGTCTGTTGTGCATGTATTCACTGAGTTCTCATTGGGACCCACTACTTATCGCTTTTACACGGTCTTTCAGTCTTCCCCAAAAGACCTCAATTAAATTAGTATGAGTTCCAGTAAGAGGATCAATAACAATTTGTCAGGAAAATGCGGATAATAAAAATAAATAATACCAGCCTCAAGTTTAATCGTAACCCTAACCTTAATCCTAACCCTAATCGTGACCGAAATGCTAACCGGTTATTATCATATTGTCCGAAAAGTACTTAAAAACGAGGTCAGGATGAATTCTGCACCTGGATTCATGCGCAGCGTTCATAGTGACACTCCTATAGGAATAGTAGATCTTATTATTCAAAGAACAGTACACGTTTTAGGTCATTGGAGCATTCTTACTCCTGGGCTAGATTGTCTTAAAAACCTGGTTACTTTTCCTCAGATATTTTTGATGCTATACTGTTCTTTTGAGGGATGCCTGAATCGTCCATTCTCTTCCCTCTATTCTCTGTTTTGTGATAATGATGGTGGCCTTATCCTAGAAAGTATTTATACAATGTTCAGAATTTTCACCGGAGTTGATTGCATGGCATCTTCTCTTCGTAGAGGATCTTCAGATAAAATATTGATTGACAGTAGCAGATCCTGTGATAGAATGCTGTCTGACTTGAAGCACAAACCAATCCACTATGATAATTTTTCTTTGTCTCCTTCGAGAAATGCACGATATTTGATTGAAAGCCAACTATAAGAATCTCAGGGGTTCATTTTGAGACCCAGAAACATACCTCAGGAACAGTTATCTCATGGGCGAAGTTAAACTTTAGGCACCAGTAGAAGGTACCAAAGCACAAATGACCTTGAACGCACCAACCACATGATAAAGGCGATTTTTACGTATGAAATACATATATTCATATGAAAATAATGAATTAAAAGGCATGAAACTATTACACAGGATACCTTTCTCTGACATGTGATAAAAATACCAGTCACTTTTTGATTAGAGCGTCAACAGAGTAATTTAACTACATTCTGTGCATGTAATTATCTATATCTTCTAACTGTAACAATAACCTTAATATTTCCTTAACCTAACCCTAGAGTGAAAATATCTCTAAACTAACTCTAATCTAACTCGAACCAACTCCATTGTTACCATTATTATTATTATTGTTCCCTTGGGTTCCTAGTGGAACATAGGGCTTCGACTACACGTCTCCACTTGCTTCTGTCTTCTGCTGTACTTTTCACCTGCATCCATGTTAGTCCATACTATTCCAGGTCCTCTTCACACGATCTCCTCCATGTCACCCTTGGACATCCCACTCGCCGCTTCCCTCTCGAGTTCCACTCGAGCGATGGCCTGACGCGTGATGTCACCCAGTGGCCTCCTCAGCGACTGTCCAATCCATCTCCACGTCCTCCTGCATATTTGTTGGGCGTTTGGTTCTTGTTTCGTTAGTTCCGATAGTTTCTTGTTGGTGATTCTCTCCGGCCATCTGATCTTCAGTATAGAACGAAGACAGCTGTTGATAAAGGTCTGCAACAGGCTGTTGGAAATACTCTTTGTGACCCGCCAAGTTTCTGATCCGTATAGAAGAACTGACTGACTTGACGTTTGTATCGAAAATCCATCATTAGGTCAACCTAATCCCAACCTGTTTTTAGGCTAGACCTTGACGTAATCGCGTTCCTAAACCTAACCTGAAACTTGCCAAATATTCCGTTTTTCATAAAATAAAACTTTATTAAGCATATTTTTATTCTTGATTACAATATTATTTGCCACGTCTTGCTAGTGTTGCTTACTGAGCATTTCAAGGTCATTAATGAGGTCGCAATCGATTGGTACTCAAATGTGTGGTCTGTAGTACACTACATCCAATCCTCCTTAACGGCTGTGAGACATGACCGTTGAAAGTGGAAGGTTAGAAGGAGGTCTACCGTCTTCGACTTCAGCTATCTTCGTTTAATTCCTCCTCTTGTGAGGTGTAATGTGGTAAGTGATATTCAAGTGAGGTAAGAGTTTTAGGTAAAGACGGAAAGGCAAACGATGAAATCATGAAGTTATAACCATTGAGATGTCTAGGACACTCTCTGAACAAGCCACTCTCAGTTGTATTCATCGGCATAGCTATATTTCTCGATTTCATTCTTTTTTCACTGAAGGTAATTCATTATGATTATTGGATTGGAATACATAAATTACTGACAAGCGATGATATCGATGAACCAGTATGGATGACTATGACACATCATATTTTAAATGAAGAGTAAGTCGAACAGAGTGTTAATGTGCACACACACCTTTGTTGAAGTTGTAGATTTGAAATTAGGACATTTTTTCAGTAATACATGAGTTACATATTATTATTATTAGATTGGGCTCCGAGAGGAACATCAGGCTTCATCAACACGTCTACATTTCACTCTGCTCTCCTCATCCCTCTAAGATTACCTGTAATCTGTCGTCTCCTCTTCACGTGATCTCCTCTATATCATTCTCAGACCCATGCACAACACATCGTTCTCCACTTGGGTTCCTCCTGACGTTTTACCTTGCGCGTGATGTCACTTAGTGGTCTCCTCAGCATATTTCCATTTAGTCGCCATTTCTCTTCAGTATATTTGTTAGGTGATGGATTCTTGATTGCTTTGTTGCCCACCGGAGTTCCGTGTCTGATCTTCAATATTGAGTCAAGGGAGCGACTGTCGATGGAGGTCGTTTACTGCAGCCTGTTGGAAAGAATTTTTTTATGACACGTGCACCATTTCTCTGAAGCACACAGAAACACTATCTGAATTGACATTATCCTCGAAAGTTCGAATCTTATTCTTTATGCTGATCTCATTGGATTTCATCAGAACGATGATTGTAGTTCAAAGGAAGTCAAGATCAACACGGAATTAGAATAAGCGCTTTTGTTTTACTGACTGTGACACACAGGGTCATCAGTAAATATCACTGTATAACACTAAGAGACTTTGTCAAATTAAATTTTATCCACCATGGAACTCTAAAGATATCACTCGGTCAATTGAGAGAACTGTTCCACCTAGAATTTCCTTGAAAAGAGTTATTTAGCCTGGCAGATCATCGCTAGTGGTATGGGTTTGCTTTTTGCTGGCAAAAAGACTCCGGAAGATCTGAATTTCGTGGATTTATGCCTAATACCTCACAAATTCAGAGATTTATGAACGAAAACCAATAAATTGGCAGGGGGGCTCGAAGATTGGACTTCAGGCGAAAACAGAGAAAAGAGTGATAAGGAAGATATTCCTTCACTTACTTCACTCAGAGAGCATCATTTCAAGTGCACGCAGTTAGCATGAGTGAGGATGTCGAAGTCGGTCAAAATCATGAAAGCAAAGTAGGCTTTCATTCCTCCGGAATCACTGTGGGGGGCTACAGTACTCACACGGCACAAGTAACAAAATCTTAATTTTCAACACTAGTTTCAGTTCGGTCACTGATTCTATATGGTTCAGAGACTTGCTAGGTGCACAACAAAAGCGGGCCACTTCGTAATTTAATCAACAGCTGTGGTCGCTGAATACTGAAGATCAGATAGCCTTCCGGGAAGGATTTTAGGGGTTGCAGGTATCGACGTTCGCGAGTTGTACGGAGTATACTAACGCAAGAGCTTATACCAACAACTTCTATAGTGTTCGCACTTCGAGTACCAAAGATAAAGCAAAAGACCAGATTTTGTCGTCCAAAGTACATAGTATATTTCGGGACCAAATCGCGGGTAGAAGTGAATGCTTAGCTAGCTAGTAATCGTGCACGCCCGTGACACGACGGAGTACCAAATGGCGGGGATGCCTGTCCGGAAGACTTCAGCTAAACAAGTCGACTTAAACAGTAAGGGTCAGCATCCAATGTTGAGTGATGATTGCTGTGGTCAATAATTTTGGGGAATTATTTACCGCTACAGATAATCAACGAGGAACTCTGACGGCGAACCAATCAGGAACCTGTTCAACAAGAAATATGTAGAAGGGAATGAAGATGGATGGATCGGACACACGCCTTGGAGATCTTCAAATGAAATACATAGAACATCACCGAGTGTCACGCGAATGGTAAGAGAACAGTTGACTGAGTGAGGGTGATATGGATAAAGTCGTACGACGAGGAAATGAACGCTTATGGGCAGTCGTTAAACCATCGATAAAAAAACACCGTAAAGAACAGAATATAATGGAGAAGTGTTACTGAAGCCGAATGATATTTAACCCTCGATAATGACTTGGCGATGCATTTTTAACCCTTCGATGTTTGATTCACTGAGAAATAAGTTTACACAAAAGATCACTGTTGTTTCTGATAACTGGCAACTATTTGATGAAATGAAGAATATCAGTGGAGTCCTCACACTCTATACTCCTCATAATTCATATGCGAACGTAGACATTTCATGTTAGATTTTAGGAAATGGCCTCTACTGGAAAGAAATTCAGAGAGAATCACGATGGAGTTACTAGCAATAATAATAATTCTCAAACAGAAATAAGCTACGTTTACAGGCCATAACCTTTACTGGACAGCTGTTTCTACCTAGTTTGTGACTCTTCATCAGTACGCAACCATCGGGGTTTGAATCCAAAACCTTCTGGTTACAGCAGGTCCGGCGTGAGTACAAACACTCACCAGCGATGACATTGGCTACTGGTCGCGCTATATCATGAATTAGCAGAATATGAAATTCATGACCAACTGGATCGGGTCCCAGTGGCTAAGTGGTATATGAGCTTGCCTTGTAGCCAGAAGGTCCTGGGTTCGAGCCCTGTTGGTGGGTGTGTACTGCTGAAGAGTCCAAAACTAGGCTGATGAAATAGCTGTCCAGTACTCCCAGCTGGTTTCTCAATGGTTCTCTAACCAATATCAGCTCATGGTGAAATCAAGTAACCACTAATTATATGATTAGAAGAAACACCAAAAATATTATGAGTATGAATAATTTCAATATCGAATGAACTCTGACCACTTTTAGTTTTCTTCGAACTGAATCCCAAATTTTTCAACATAGATCTATGCTGAAGACAGTGATAAGGCGCGCAAAGACGGAACTAAGGTGGGGATTTATTCCCAACTAGCATATTTATTTCACTTTATACTCTTTATTTGGATTCTGCAGGCAATACCTTAAAACAAATAAAGATTCGTTATCCGGAGCTAGATCTCCCGCTTTTGATAGTCATGTTAATTTCAGAAAGACAAGAAAGACGAAATTTACTGCATGTTCACCATTAGTTTGGATTTTCAGTCATATCTGATGACGTCTTCAGGCAGGGATTAGGATGATCTCTTAGACTCCATTCAAAGAGTTGTGGTGTACCAACATATGCTAACCCAGTACCACTGTCCTTTATCCCATGACCTCATATCACAGGCCTAACATCCAGCTTCAGGGCTGTTGAAGTATCAGAGCTTCTCGGATGACATTCTCAGTGTGTGTCCAAGGCATCAGAGTTGGTATCCGAAGATAAAACACTCTACTGGGCCCCAGGACCTAAATAGAATTACCACCTGATACAAGCTATCCTATGGACTTAGAGACAGATGAATACACAGAGTTGCTGCATGCTCCCAACCAGAAGATGACAGGTTTCACGTTTATATAACAAGAATTAGTGTGCTGAAACTTTGGAAACCTAACTTTTGACGACCAGACTAACTTTGCGATGGCCATAAACATGGCTAAACTTCGAATATACCATCCTGAATTCAACTGATTCGTTACAATTTCACCAACACTCAAAAGCTACCTAGTTACATAGAGTATATGTATATATGTAGTGCACCTTAAATGTTTGAACTTTTGTTTTAATGCATTCATGTAATATGGCGCCACGCTTTGACTGTTCCTCCGGCATGACTGCTCGCACGTGGCTCGCTCCCTCGTTGTGCTATCACTAAGCGCACTCTTGAGCTCACTACCCCAGTTAACTGAGGAAAGCAAGTTTAGTGGGTGCTGACGTTAAGGACTATCTTGAGGGTGACATTGCCACTTATATATATAACTCATTATGACTCACTTGACCATTTTTCCATTATTATTTTATAGAAATTGGGTCACAGATTCACTTATTTTTCAAGACAATATGAACTGTGCTGTTGCTAAAGCAATGAAATCAGGAAAATGGTATCCAACAGCATGTCAGCGACGTTTCTTTTTTGTCTGTCACTTCAAATTTTAACTTTCCATTTTTGTACAAAAAACAAAAGAGAGCGGGAAATACTCTTGCTAAGTATTTTTCTGTATTTAAGTAAAAGAATCATTATTTTTAATATTACTATTGTTATCATTATCGTTATTATCATTGTTGTTTAAATTGACAAACTACAAAATGGATTGTTCCGTGTTCAGTATGATACAGACTTGATATTTTGTGCTAATATTAGCGTCTTGCTTAGAGAAAAAGTGTTGATTAAAGATGACCGTTAAAATTTCCAAAAAGCTGAGATTATTTGGGAACAAAGAATATTTTCAATAGCTGGTTTGTAAGGATTAGATTTGTTTTTTACGAGTCGATCACAGATTGATATCAGTTAGAGAACCAGTGAAAACCATCTAGGAGTACTGGGCAGCTGTTTCATCAGCCTAGTTTGGGAATCATCGGCAGTACGCAACCACACTACGGGGTTCGAACCCAGGACCTTCCGTTTACAAGGCGGGCTCGTGTATCATTCAGCCACTGGGACCCCATTCAGTGGCCAGTCCATGAATTCTAACTTCTACCAATTCATGATTTAGCGTGACCGTGATCAACTCGCAAAAAACAAATCTAATCCTTACAAACCAACTATCGAAAATTAATTTGGTGCTCGCTAGTGACTTGCAACAGGACAGAGTTTCCCGGAGTTCTAGTGAGACCTTTCGACCAGTGAGGTCCAACCAGTCAAGTGTGAGGATGGATATCCCATCGATGAAATTGGTTGGTGGTCTTGCTAAATCACGAACTAGTAGAAGTTAGAATTCATGGGCTAGCTATTGGATCTGGTCAAAATAGCTAAATGGCATACGAGCTTGCTTTGTAACTGAAAGGTTTTAGGTTCCACCTGTGTCGGTGGGTGGGTACTGCCGATGATTCCCAAGCTAGGATGAAACAGCTGTCCAGTACTTCCAGCTGGTTTTCAATGGTTCTCTAACTGAAATCAATCTGTGATCGACTCGTAAAAAACGAAGAATATTCTTTTCGATAAATTCCTATTCATCAGGTTCATAATTTTTGAATACATATCAGCCACAGCAGCCTAGGGTACCAATGAAGGCTAGACCTGTTTCTTTGGCACACATAATTCCGGTTAGCTTTAGCCGGATGCATTAACCTCTGATGTTTTGGTGTGTTCGGTATCTACTAGCACTCGGGATTTTATTCGGTATATAATAGATTATGGAAAAAACACTTCAGTGCTGGTTTTGAGGTATGTTTGGATGAGGTAATTTAATAGTGAACTGTTGATGGTTTTAACTTCAATTTCATTTAGTTATATAAAGTGGTAGGTATTTCGGCCAATATAACTAGCTGCAGAGGAGTTCATTTGAAATGATAGATACTAGAAGAGGTAGCTAGCCTACCTACTTCGTCTTTCGCCTTTTCGAAAATATAACCGTTGGTGTGGAAAATATGAATTTCAGCTTACCGGCGTTAGACGTTCTTTGAATTGATTTCATCAACATGCTTGGTATTATTTCACTTGGTACATCACGTTTAAATTGTAGTCGTATATATATATATATACATATGCAGAGGCTTCTTGTTAACAGATTAAGAACAATTATTTCCCACTTATTCGGCCATTTGTTTAATGACGAACTTTCCAAGGTAGCTGCTTACATCCCCAAGATCGATCTCATAGGAGCTTATCACTACATTCTCATCCATCTGGACAACGTTCCGAAAACCAATATTACCACACCATTGGGGTTAAATGAATTTATCCGCATACCTTTTGGACTAATGAACGCCGCCCAGATATTCCAGTGGTTAATCGACCAAGTACTCTGTGGTCTCCCCTTCGTCTGTGCGTTCATCAGCGGCTGTATTCCCGGACATGAGACAATCACTAACGATATATGTTGACACCCATTGGCAGAGCGGTTGTTGTCATTCGTCACTGGGTTGTACGGTTGGCCGTCGATTCAGAAAGAAATGTATGACTGGCTGCAACTCCTGGTCTTCACTTGTGAATATCTGGACATCATCCACAGTAACTGTAATTGCCCTTATAGATAACGCTAGGATGTTGAGATCAGGGACCTCCGTTGAAACAATCGCCATAATTGCATCCTCATTCGACTTGGGGAAGACACTTATTCGGCTAGAAAAGGCGTCGGCCTGGACGAACTTTTGTGTATATCTATTTTGGATTCCGAGATCATACCACAGTAACATCAAGCCCCGCCGTTGTAAACGATTCACGGCGTGGGTTGGGGTGCCAGTTTTTGATCCAGGCGGAGCTAACAAAGGTTTACAGTCAGCTAACAACATAGATTTGCCACCACAGATAAATATATATGGAAACTGCATTCTGCAAAGATAAGGGCCAGAGCTTCCTCTGTCTGAATTTGTTTTCGTTCCTCAGCAATTAGTGTTCTAGTAGAGTGTATTATGGATTTTGACGCTTTATTTGGGGAAACATGAGGCATTACTGCACTGGCTCTATAAGCAAAAGCATCTGCTGTTATCACTATTTGAATTTTGATGTCGTGGTGAGTGAACAGAATGTAGGACATTGGCATGGACTTTAGTTTAAGAAATGCCGACGCATATTCCAAAACTTATTTCTGTAGCATATTTTTACCTTTAAGACATTAACGGGGATGTATCTGTATACACAGTTGGAAGGAATGCATTGCTCTAAAGCTCTGTCTTGGAGGCGGCGACAATTAGGGTGTCTTCAAGGTATGCAAACACTCCCGATATACCGGGTAATATGGTGTCCGTCATCCACGCAAAATGCCGGGCTTTGTTTTTATTCCAAATAGTAACCTCCAGTTTTAGCGCAATGCTTGGTGTGTTTTAACGGTAGCAGTTTCCTACATTCACTGACAAATTCCATTTGTAAAAAGGGGTTAGATACATCAATTTTAGCAGGGCAGGTGCTACCACCAGGACTGGTGAAGACACCACTGCAGTGGTGATTTTGCAGTGTCGCACTAAGTCACGTTGAGAACCGCTCAACATCCTAGAAACCACCTCAGGAGAGGTTTAATTAGAGTAAGATGTTCGTGTGAGACCACTTGGGTGACGTGCTATATTAACGCCAGCATGTGGTAATGAAGAACGTGGCACGAGTCTCCTTATTTACGAAAGGGCTGTTGTAACCTTGGAGACAGGTGACTCAACTGAGATCAGGCTCTTAAATATCCAAAAATCGTCGAGCTATTTCGCAAAAAGTATTTTAGTTCTGGATTTGGATGCATATAGTCTTTACTGCTAACTCTGATAATCCAAGACCCTCAAGACAGTCAAGACGTACAGGATTGGATTTCACATTTGTAGTATGGCAAGCTGTTGCTGTAATAGTATTGCAGGAGGAAACATTACACCGAATCTTCCCTGTTAGTGACAACTGGCCACCGAATTCAGTGACCCCAACTTGAAGAGCTCTGTGAAGCTGCTGTCATCAAATAACCACCCATAGCTGCTCGTAGATAATCGTGGTATCTGGTGCCATATTGCCCCGTAAGAGCCCTAGGTAGTCACTGGAGTGGACGTCAATAAACTCTTAGCCGTCAGGTGTACGAGCAAGTGGAGTAGCTACGAGGTTGAGGGATTCACCCACATTTTAAGAGTGGGATCGGTGATAACTGGAGGACGGTGGCTTTGATCATTGTTGTGCCTGTCTCAAAGAAAAGCCATCACCGTGTACAACTGCATTACAGTTTCGTCATCGATGTTAATTATACAGACAAGATCTGAGGAAATGCCAGACACTACCCTGCCAAGTGGACGATGAAGGTTTCTTCTTCGGCTTCATTTTTTAAATTATAGCTTGAAACCACACAGTACTTTTGGTACAAGTATGGAATTTTCAGCATGTGATATCTGTAGCCCCAATTTTGCAGGCTGACTATTGATATTGGGTGTGTGTCGGCAGGGCATCGAACTCCGGACTATGTGAATGGTCGGCAAGACTCCTAACCGCTGTGCCACCGACGCACATGCATGCTTTACTGGGACTATGGGTGATCGAGGTGGGACCACGAGTTGCTTAAATAAGGGGCAATACAAGGATTTGAGAGGTCTAGAGAATCGCATTGATTTCAGGACCACCCTAGCCTCCAGATTAGACTAAACTGTTATCAAGCTGAAGGCTGGTCAGTCGTCAGTATTCTGAAGTGATTTCATTTAAAATTACAGTTAGTTCACGTCGTAAGGAGTTTGGCAGCGATACTCTGATGTCGGCAAACTAAGGTAACTGTAAACAGCAAATGAGTATTAGTTGCTTGAATTAATCATCTGCGATAGATTTCCACTTAGAGCCTTCACAAATACCGTTGAGAATATCAGCATGTGAGAGTAAGTCAGTGTCATCATCCATTGTTAGGGGCGTTGATAAGGCATATCCCCCGTTTGAAGTTGCGCCTCCAGATTAACCTTGAGGACATTTGCGCGGTCTAGTTGATGTCAGTTTGGCTGATTTGTTTCGTTTGATCTAGGTAGCTGCATTTGACGTGATTCTGGCTTCTGTTTGGCTTGAACTGTATTGATTTTGTTAAGAATAGTCGTCAAAAGCTGCCTCTAGGCCTGAAGGCAGTTATGGTGCAGGAGGATGCTTGAGAATGTGTTTCATGTGAAAATAAAAATAAATAAATATAAATAAATTTAAAAAAATAAATAAAATAAGGATGACAGTTGTAGAAATGAGCCTTCTATTATATCCTTCTTGGAAATATCAGTTCCCTCATAGTTTAGTTTCAGTATTAAGTGAATGGAATGTAATCTGCAGATTCATGAAATTCACATACGGACGTACTACTTTTCTGGAATCATAGTTAATGTCTCCTCAGTAAAGTGAGCAATGGGTATTGCACTTGTGTAAAATCAATAGGCTGTGAACCGCTACCAATAAAAACGATATAAATTCTTAGAATTATCAGTTTTAATTTCAGCTGGATCACATGCAACACTCAGCAGTTAGTAAATGGTCACTTCATGAACATGGAATCCATACAGAAAGCGCAGAAGAT